GGTGAGTAATCCCAAACCAATGGCGCTGTCTCAAACTATACCTACCTCTTCCGGTTTGTCTGATTTGTCGTTGTGTTTTCTGACTTGTTAATTTGTTTTCGGATTTGTCGTTGTGGTTTCTGACTTGTTATAATGTTTTTTGAATTGTTATTTTGTTTTTTAGACTTGCATTTGCGTTTGTAATTTGTTATTTTGTTTTCAGAATTGTGATTTGTTTTGCACTTCTCGGCCACCGTAGATAATGGATAACAAATAAATGATCAGTGAAAAAACAGCTTTCCATTATGACTGACTTGAGACCTAAACACAAGACTCGTTTATACAGTAATTAATATTGTAAAACAGACTCTAAATTCAGCAAACTGCTGTAAAATAGCCCATATACACACATCTGTGATGCACGTCTGTATTGATGCAGCAGATTGTGATGTTGCTCGGCAACCGTGAACAATTAAATCACACTTGATGTTACACACTTACTAGCCAGTCAGAACTGAGAATGATATATTGATGTTGTATTTGAAAGGGTGATGGTGAAATTCATCATTGGTGAGCATGGCTGTTCTGTGCCGGAGGAAGATCGTGAAGACCCGTATTCCTGCTCGCTGCTGAACCTCACAGAGACAGGTGAATTCATCACACAAACACCGCTCTGAATAAGCTTTGCTGCAGTTTGTACGTTACGATTCTCATCAGACCCCCCCGCTCGGACATGAATCTCGCAGTATGTGGCCTGAAATCACAGTGTGCACTCAGATTCTCTTCTAAGTAGTCAGCATGTTTTGGCTTCCAGCAGATTTCAGTGGGACATCCCGTTATAACATTATGATTCCAGCTTCTGTTCTGCATTTTCATGGTTTAGCCACATCTTCATCATCATCATCAGTCAGAGGAAGAGTTCATTTGAAATTGAAAATTTAAAAAATTCCAACTTTTTCAGTGGAACACCAAAGAAAGTTTTTGAAGAATTTAAAAAGTAACAGGGCTACCAAGTGATTAAAATGTTTAATCTAATTAATTCGGTGATGGGCTGATTCATTTATTGAATTAATTGCAAATTAATTGCACATCCATTTGGCCTGAGACATTACCCCCCAAAAGATTAACATTATTGTGTTAAATGTGAAAAGCAATAAATAAACATTACAAAAAAGTAGCTTTAGAAAGATATATTTTGATTCAACATAGAATTTATTGCTCAAAAATATATTAAAAAATGTACAAAAAAGTGCCACAAAACATTGGCTAAAATATATATATTAGGGTTGTCAACCGATTAAAATATTTAATCGTGATTAATCGCATGATCGTCATGAGTTAACTCGTGATTAATCGCAACTTAATCACATTTTTATCTGTTCTAAATATACCTTAAATTAATACTTTTCAAGTTTTTAATACTCTAATCAACATGGGCATGGACAAATAAGGTGTTTATTATTAGTGAAACCATAGTCAACTGCATGCATGAAGACTAGACATGTTTCAAAGGTCATAGATGTTTTTCAAAGAACTTGTTCATATCTATTAGACACATGAAAAAAGAACATAGAAATACCAGGCTCCCATTACTTCTCTTTCTTTGCACTGAGCAATTAATTTACTTACACAAGCCCGTTTACATTATTTGCAGGACAGGGCAGCTCACTGTACAAAAACGTTTCTTAGAATGTTCATCAAGTAACATCATAAGGATATTTTGAGATTGTTGATCTCAGAAATCATGCGCTGGAGCCTTTGTGCGCGTTAAACTGACAAATTAATCGCCTGCGTTAATGCGCTAATTTTGACAGCACTAGTTGAAACACAATTACGGTTTGGACTTTAAATTCAAGCCGCAGCTCAGTTTTCAGTGTTTTGAAGACGCTTTCAGAAGGATTCTTTTGGACTTTGCTAGTGGTGATTGGCGAAGCCTTATGCTAATGAGCCCTTTAACAGCGAGAGAATCTCCTGTGTGGCTCTAAAAGCTTTTCCTGATGGTTGTTCAGCCCACATCTGCGCGCTTCTGCCTCTCGTCTGCGCCGCCTTTAATTGGCTTTTGTCTCAAGGACGAGGGAAGCGGTGAGTCTGCTGCTCTCTATTAACGACTCTGTTCTTCCAATTGATCTCCTGGGTAATAAATGGCTGCTTTCTAATTAAGAGAGCCAGTAGTTCAGAGCAGACGAGTCTCTTAAAGTGCTGATGTTTGGATTATTGTGCAGCGGCGTGTGAAAACGGCTCCGTCTGCGCACGACATCTGGCTTTATCTTTAACCCTTCTTGGGCGGATTTGTTTATTTAACCAGGGTTTGGTCACATGACAAAATTCATGGGTTTTTGCATTCATCAAAACACATAAACATAATCTCTAGAACTGCTCTGAGTCACTTCATGAGAAAACTACCGTCGTATACAAACAGACACCAATGTTTCAAAAAGACACCAATGTTTCAGGAGTTTAGTACACAGAATGGGACACATGCTTATTAGATAACCGTATTTGGGTTGATGTATATGCTTTTTTTTCAAAGCATTGTTAGATGCCAGTGTTTCCTGTAGTTATGCCAAGATTTGGTTTCAAAAACAGTATCAGTAAACTATTTCTTATGATTTTGAATCTGCATTGAACTTCAGATCAATCTCAAAGTAAAAGGCAGTATTAAAGTCTGATTTTGTGGTGGATGTGTTCAATTATTTTAATTAATAATATCAATTATCTTCATTGAAGTGATGAAGGATTTTTGAAGTCTGGCAGTAATGAGTGTTGAATAGCCTACTTCTGTAAGGTTAACCCCGCATGGTGTAAATGTTTGAAAATGGTTAGCAGTTGAAAACAATCATTAGAAATGTAAAAAAGTCATCAAAAATTAAACAAAAGTAAGCAGTTACATTACTTTAATAAAGTAATTAAAAAAGTTACACTACTATTACATTTTAAATAGGGTAACTTGTAATCTGTAACCTATTACATTTCCAAAGTAACCTTCCCAACACTGGAGGTGTGTGATGCGCCACGATTTTCAAATCTTGAAGTGTGTGCATGTTTAAGATTTGAGGTAAGATAATCTGCAAAGATTCTCTGTATGTGTGTGCTGCAACCAGATTTCATAATCGGTTAGGATTTTAAAACTCCTGTAGT